GTCACTGGGCTATCCTAATGTATTTTACAACCAGTGTTAGTGGGAAAAGGGATTGTTTCACATGTAACAGTATCTCTCATTCTTTATACTCAGAAAATATTCATGTATTCTCCAGTGGTGCCGTCTTATAGGATGTCTATCACCAATGGTTAGAAACTAGATTACAGGTACAATGTGAAGGTCAACATTCCAAGAAGAGTTATGCATATCAGCCAGGGTCAACACTGTGAAGCAAAATAGCTGTCTTGCACAAACAGGGTGGAAGTTTGACATTTCAAATCTTAACAGTCATCTTTGGTGATCACCAAAGCTGAAACACAAGACTGCAACTAAAGCCTTCTTAGTAGGCTGAAAAATAAAACAATCCTGAACACATTATACCTATAATATTGATAGATTCAAGTATACACCCTCATGGCCTAGGACAGGGATGGGGCCTCAAGGCCACATGTGACCCTCTAGGTCCTCAAGTTCAGCTCTTTGACTGAATCCAAACTTCACAGAACAAATCCCCTTAATAACAGGATTTGTTCTATAAAACTTGAACTCAGTCAAAAGGTCACACCTTAGGCTCTAAGAACTTTCATTTTGCACAAAATCTGTGAATAATAAAACTGATAGCCTCAAATGTTTATATTTTTAAAAAAAATAGTGTTCAGGCAACAAAGGAGACACTAGAGATCTTAATACGAAAAAGCAAAACGAAGACACTGATAAGCCATGTGTCACACCGTTGGCTGAAGGAACTGGGCATGCTTAACCTAGAAAAAGAGAAGGTTTGAGGGGCTGGGAGGGGGAACAGGATAGCTGTCTTAAAGTACTGAAGGATTGTCATTTGAAGTAGGTTTAAGCTGTTTGACTCTGGGGAGCAGAATCAGAAGCAATGAGTGAAAAGTGACAAAGAGGCCCATTTCATTTAAGTTACCTTTCAGCTCTGACATCTACAGAGTGCCCCAAAAGACAGAGTGCAGTGTTAAGCCTTAATAGCATTAAAATAGCACTCTGACTTTTGGGACCCCCTGAATATTCTGAAAGGCTGTCTGGTAAGAGAAAACAAAACAAAACAAAACCAAAAAAACCTTCACTATTCAATAAAACAAGGCCATAATTCTGAAAGACAATTCTACGACATCCTCTTTGAAAATGGGTTACCTAAACTGTAATGAGCAAAGCTGGCCCTGAAAAAGACAAGAGGAAATACACCTCCCTCTTTTCTTTGCAGAGGAGGGTGACCATGGGCATGGAATACTGCATATAATGTCAATCTGTTAATATATTTGTTAATTTAAACTACTTTTTTCTCGAGTTTTATTAAACTACTTTCAACACACAAACCTGTTTATTTTATTGATAAAAGGGATTGTTATCTGAGTAGGGAAGGAGGAATGTCTAGAAATGAAAGTGATGTATAAATAAAAAATAGTTTTTAAAAAGTTATTTTTGTGGGTACACAACTTTTCTATGTAAAGGCAACTGGTAACCTCTAGACCACAGAAGGAATCTAGCTAAATGGATAATATTGCTCTGGCCATTACCAATGCACCCTAAAGAATGTGTTTTGATGATCGGGGCAGCCAGGTGGCGCAGTGGATAAAGCACCAGTTCTAGAGTCAGGAGAACTTGAGTTCATATCTGACCTCAGACACATAACACTCACTAGCTGTGTGACTCTGGCCAAGTCACTTAACACCAAATTCCTCACCAAAAAAAAAAAAAAAAAAAGAGAATGTGTTTTGCTCAATGAGATATGATTCCAAAATGGAAATAACCACCACAACAAATGTGAGTGTGGGGAAAAAAAGGTGTTTATCTCAGCTAATATTCACCTAACCCTCTGATGCACTGGGCCCTGTTTTCTTTCTCAATACTCTATTTTTTTCAAATCCATTCCTCTCTCTTCATTGCTTTTCTCTCACACATAAGAAGGCAAGAAATCAGTCTCCTCTTCCAGGTCTACCTCTCCCACTGTATCTCTCCACACTTCTCATTGATAAACTCCTGTTTGGCTTTTAAAGCCATTCACAACCTGGTCCCAAACACCCTTCCAATTTTACATATCGTTCTCCTTCCTACCCTCTATGGTTCATCCAAATAGGACTTATGACTGTTCCATATAGGTCATTCTATCCTGTTTCCAGGCCCTTGCATTGACTCTCTCTCTATGACATGTTCCTGCCTCAACTCCCTATCTTAGAATCCTTGTTTCCTCCAAAACTCTCTTTAAGATCCATGCCCTACATGAGATTTCCCTGATCCCCCTCAGGTACTAGTATCTCCCTTGTAAAAAAGTTATTTTACATATATTTATTTATGAACATGTCTACCGAAGTAAAACATAAGCTCCTTGAATTCAGAAACTGCCTTGTTTGAGTTTGTTTCCCTCATGCCTATCATTGTGTCTAGCATACAGTACGTGCATAATAAATTCTTGATAATTAAGTCTTTTTTGTCTCTTCACTCTTTATTTTATCCACAGCTTCCTTTTTAAAATTAGCCATAATATGATTTAGTTTTGTGTTATTATTTTGTTGTATTTGATTAATACTTACCAAAATGCTATATCTATAAGGGGAAAATGTACTACCTCCCTCCCTGTAGCAATATATTGGTAGAATTACTGCTTATGGAAAGTGTGTGCATCTGGTTTCATCTATCAAATGATATAGATGGTTACTAAAATAGATAAATCTAGTGTGTTACATGTTTTTTGGAAAGGATAGAAGATAATACTCCTGAGATCACCTAGAATCTATTACAACGCCTATTATTTCATGCTCATTGATCCTACAGATTACATATAGAAGTGAACTGAAGTCTCTTGTGTATTCTTGTTAATAGAAGTGTATCTATGGTCACTAACACTGGAATTCCCTTTAAGTATGGAATACTTTTGAAAGCATCTAAGTTGAACAATGACTAAATTCTGGAAAGAGGAAGTAAAAGACTATATATTTATTGAGTACAAGTGGCTCCAATAAATTTTGTCACCTAAGTAAGTACCAGAATAGTTCTGTGACTTTTTTGTTTGTTTGTTTCTTATTAAGAACTAGTTTGAAGTGCAGATTAAGCACAGTATCTAGTTTTGCATGCTGGAAATACATATTCTTACTTCAAGGACATCATCTGAATTCATTCTACATATGCTGACCAACATTTGGCAAACACTTTAAGGAACAGAAAAATACAAACAGATGGACCGATAGAGTGAAAATTACTTACCTTATGCCCCAGAACTAGCTAAATTCTGGAGAGACAATGATATGCAAGGAAGCTACATTAAAAGAACAGAGTACAGAGCTACTCCATGGCAACTCCCTTAAAATGTTTTAGTACATAGTAAATCTGATCCCTGAGATCCAAGACGAACATAATTCCTCTCAGATTTCTTGGGAACCATACAGAACATTGAGCAAAAATAAAAATCCTTCTTCTTGGGGTAAGCAGGTCTCATAACACATCCTATTAGCTTGGAATGGTCCATTGTCAGAGTAAATGGAGTTTCCCAGGAAGTATTAGAGCCCTCCCAATGTCTATAAAGCTCTCAAGAAGCCAGTTTATCAGTGCACAAGATGAGTAATGTAAGAAATTATGCATCTCTCCCATAGCATCAAATAAAATAATGTTTGTATAGTGCTTCATATCCTGCCTGGCATATAGTAGGTGTTCAATAAATACTTATTCCCTTTACCCTTCTCTTCCCTATCCGAAACACAAATCTAAGCTTTCTGGAAGGAGTAGGAGGAGTTATTTTTGTTTTTATAACTGAAAGAAGACTAAGGAACAAGAGTTATGTACAAAATGCTTCCACCCCCCCCCCCCAAGGGTCTTAATCATTGAAATAATGTTGATAGGTACTTTGTTCCTGCTGGGCACCATGGGAATAGACAGAAACAACATTAAAGTCATTTGTACTTTAGGGAATGTAAGTCCCTAGGATGAAGAAAGGTAAAATTCAAGTAAAAATCCTTGGCCAATGTACTTAAGAACAACTAGTAGCCTTGACCTAAAGAACAGAGAAGGCACAGGAGGAAAAACAGAGAAGATTAGGAGTGAGAAGACCCAGGTTCTTTTCTACTACTACCACTACACACTACCACTGTGTCTGTGACATTAATGGGCTAGTCACTTTCACTACTTTCACTCTGTGGGACTCAGTTTTCTCCTCTATAAAATGAAGAAGTTAGACTAGACTGTATAAAATGAAGAAATTAGACTAGACTGTTTCTAAGGTCTTTTACAGCTCTGAAATATTTTTCTATGTATTTGTAGACTCTTAGGGCTGAAAGAGTCTTTAGAGATAGAGCTTAACACCCTAACTTTAAAGGAAGATTTCATTTTCTTTTAGGAACTTAATTATTTTCTCCTCCTAATACAAGTCTAGAGACCCAGAGAACAGTATCCAGTAAATGAAGCAGAACCAGAATGATTGAGAGGGAGGTATAACAGACCGTCTGAAACACTAAGACCATAAAACAACTTTTGCAATACAAATTTCAATTCTGCATACTCCATGAATATGGATATAACATTCCATCTTCGAAATAAGCATTTTCAACATGCATTCCCTTAAGAAATCAAGTCTCATTCTGTCCAAATACAACAGTTTTTATAAAAAAAGTGAGACTAAAGGATAAATTAGCAGACACATTTTAAAAAGTCAAATTGACAGTCAAACTTTTGCCAACTTTTGCCAAATTCTGAATTAGCTTCAAAGGTTCATATATATGTCAGTTTATATACCAAACATTTTTAAGCTCTAGCAAATAACCAAGATTAAACACAGTAAACAATGCTTTAAGTCATCTCATGAAATAGCAAACTATTTTAAAAATTCTATCACCAACAGTACTTTTTTTTCCCCCAATAATCCACCTGTCTTCTACTTTGTGGTTCAATTTCTACTTAAATTCTTGGAGGTATAATAACTTCATTTTCTTATTCATGCCAATAATTCAGACAGAAAACTGAAGAATTAAATTTTGTGCTGCTATTAAACTTACAAAACGAGAAGAGTTGTCATTTTTCACAGTTTTTGCATTTCCAAATGATTCAAGGATTGGGTTTGCTTGTAAAAGTTGCCTTTCGAGTTCTCCCTAAAACACATCACACACAAACACAAAAAGAAACATAGAAGTATTTATGTTAAACTAAAGTCTTCTATTAACCCTCACATTTGATTGCCTCTTTTTCTCAGTTCTTTTGTACCAATTGCACCTTTTAAATGGGTCTGCTCAATCCTGGATGTTTTGACAGGACTTCACTAAAAATGAAATAAATTAGCATATATACGTAATGATATCCAAGAGACTAACATTGTTAAAGAAAGATGTGGATTTAAGTATAAGAAAAACAAATCAGGCACAGATTTGTGGGAAAATGCAAGAAACAGATTTTCCAAAAATAAAATGTTATGTAATAATATCAGTGATTTTTTTTTTTAAAAAAGCCAAAGCTCATTATTAAAAATGTTACCATCTTACATGAGAGAGAAAAGTACTTACACATAGATGATCTCAATAGATATGCACAAAAATACTCTGATACAGGTTGGCTAGATATCATTATTCTCATTTAACAGACAGGAAAACCAAACGAACAAAAAGATAATAACATTATTTCTTATTCAAACTGAATTCAGACAACTGAGTTTCTCTTGATTGTATCCAGAAACACGCATGCTTGTTAGGAATACCCAAAACTTACATGTGAACTTGTATGCAAGTCATAAAAAACTATAAATTAAAGTACATTAATCCATATTTTATCCATGAGTCCCAAAAGGAATAGTATCCTGGGAAAAAAAGTGTGCCAATTCTTTCCTTGAAGAAGTTGTACTTCTAGACTGGAACTAAAAAACTGGAATCTGTGAACAAAACTGGACAGCTTTTTCAAAAGACACATCATTGCAGTTAAAAATCAACAGAATCTTGACCCTAAAAATTAAATCAGCTTATAGAAGTGAGTCTAAAGTGAAAAAAAAAAAAAGAACCAAAAGATTTGAAAATTAGAACCCAGCTGCCATGCAAATTTACTATTTCACCATTCACTTCACACATCAATGCACTTAAACAAGAGATAAATTATGGTCATACAGCTAGTCATTGGCAAATTGATCGGTGTCACAATTACTCTGGGCCCTCTATTTCCTCATCTAGAAAACAAAGCAGATAGGTTGAGGAAATTCTCAATGACCACATCTAAAATTCTTTTAACATTACTCCATATACGCTATAAGTATTAATGAAGATTTAGTGTCAAAAGTCAATATTTTGACCAATACTTTGAGAGGCCAGGTGAAAATGAACAATGAGACAGATATGGGTGTCTCAGGCCATCCCCTTCTCTAGGTAAAAAGCTAAAGTAGTTGTTTACACAAAAAGATGCCAGATTTTATATTAATATCCATGTTATGAGTTCCAAGGCAGTTATCTGGATTACCAGATTTTCATATATTTTATCTGTGGGCATGGGATTATTTTTTTTTAAGGCAATTGGGGTTAAGTGACTTGCCCAGGGTCACACAGCTAGGAAGTGTCAAGTGTTTGGTCTAAGGCCGGACTTGAACTCAGGTCCTCCTGACTTCACGGGTGGTGCTCTATCCATTGCACCACCTAGCTGCCCCTATATATTTTAACTGTAATCAAATTCAATGAGGAAATGGAGACCTGCACCCACACTTACTTAAAAGACAACCAAATCCTTTCAGATAGCCTGTTTTGTTTTTATATAGAGATTAATTTAATTATACAGTAATAAATCATTTACCTGGCAATGGATGAGGTAATTCCACATCAATGAATTTTTCAGATAAATGAAACTTATCAAATTCAAACCTCAAAATTTCCAACATTTTAAATTAAAGAGCATTCATTAAACTCTTAATGTATGCCACCAACTGTCCTGAGCGCTAGACGGAAAGACACACACACACACACACACACACTTTAAAGGCAAAATATAATCTCTAAGCATTGTTTATGTTCTAACTGGGGAGAAACCAAATATAAATAAATTGGTACATATAAGACACATACAGAGTAGATAGAAGACAGTTTTAGAGTAGAAGGCAAAGCTAGGTCTTCTGCAAGAGGTTGTGCTTCAGCCAGGCATTCTAAAATGTAGAGGTTAGGAGGGAAAGCATTCCAAGTACTGTACAGGGGATAGCCAGTGCAAAGGCCGACAAATGGGAGATACAGGATCATATGTGAAGAAAAGCAAATAGGTCAGTATGTCTGGACCATAGACTATGTGGAAGGGAATAATATATAATGACAAGAAAAACAGGAAGGATTTTAAATGACAAAACACTTAATATTTGAAGTAACAGGTAACAGAGGGACAACAGAGAGAAGAGAAGAAAGAAGGGAGGAAGAAAGGAAAAGAGGGAGGGAGAATGCTTATATAGTGCCTACTATATGCTAGGGACTGTGCTAAGTGTTTTTTACAAATATTGATCCTCATAACAACCTTGCAAGGTAGGTGCTATTATTATCCCCACTTCAGAGTTGAGGTAAACAGGTTAAGTGACTTGTTCAGGGTCATACAGCTAGGAAGTTTCTGAGGTTAGATTTGAACTTGGGTCTTCCTGACTCCAGGTTCAGTGTTGTCCACTGCACCACCTAACTGCCATGGATGGGAATAACATGGTCAGAACTGCCATTTAGGAAGCAATCTCCCAAGTTCATACTTTGGTCTTATCAGATTCTTCACTCTCCTTCACTCTATACAGACACAGACACAGACACAGACACAAATACTCACCACACACACACACACACAAAATGATGACACTTGATCTCCCACCTCTGTGCCTTTGCACTGGCCCCAAGCCTAGAATGCACTCCCTTTTCACTCACATCACTGAATTCCTTTCTGCTCTTAAATACACAGCTCAACCATGACCTTCCCTTTCCTCATCCTCTCAAATGTTGGTGTCCTCCTTAAATTATCTTATTAAAGAAATTTTTATTTATTTGTATTTATTCTCTGTGTAATTATTCTGTATATGTTTAAATGTATCCTTATACAAATAAAGTGAATGAAGCACCTAGCATAGTGCTTGGTATATAATAGGTGCTTAAATTAATACTTGGTTAATGGTTCTAAATTCGCAACTACCATCATTTCAACAACTTGATTTTAACTGGAAATGATTTCTTAAGATAATATAAATTACTCAGGTAGTAGGATGCTGACTCCTATTTTGACTAATCCAGACATAACCAAAGAGCAGGATTTTCTCAAGCTGAGTTTTTCATCAATTCTCTTCTGCTCAATGAGCCAAGATGATGTAGACATGCAATTAGGAAGATCTGGTCCACCTCATACAACTAAACTTGTATGAACCTGGGCAAGTCATTTAATCTGAGCCTCAGAATCCTCATCTGTAAAATATGGAAGTTGGATAGTATCTAAAAATTCCTCAATAATCTCTAAAGTTATTTTCCACTTCAAATTTATAATCGTAGGATCTAATGATGAGTTCTTTTGTTTAAGCCTACAGATTCCAAATTTTTACTACTGAATTACTTAGAGTAAACTACATTTCACAAAGAGTGGGCTTCATCTTAAATGATAACAAGTATCACTTTAGGTCTCTAGCAATAAGAATGGCTACATGTATTGCTCTCTAAATCCCCTTTGGGGGGAAGGAGGCTTCTAGTACCAAAGAACTCGAATATGTGGAAAAGGTAAGTGAGTGTGAAGTATGGAGAGAAAGACCTATCTCATCTTTTTAGGGTCAAGTCTCAGAGACCATTCCAGTAAGGTGAGTAAGTGTTAAGGAAAGGAAAGAAAAGGTAATACTAATTTTGAGACATAGATAAGGAAGCTAGAGTTCTTGTATAAGTCTTCCAACATAACTCCAAGTAGAGAAGTTCATCTTTCTATTGCCCTTTCCCTGGAAAAAGGATTCAGGAGACAAAAATCTAGTGATTTCTAAAAAAAAAAATTTTAGAAGCTAACAGTAGCAAAAGCTTTAACTCAAAGAAACGTCATAGTGACAGAACCCCCAATGCAGTTTTATGTCTCTATTGAGGTTATTATATCATCTGCCCAACAGCACTGTGGGACTCTCTTTCACCCCATCCTCCCTCTGCTGAATCACGACTATACCTCAAGAGATATTTCTGTTATGGGTGAAATCAAATAGCTCATGATTTGAGTTAATATCATGAACAAAGCAGAGAAATTATAAAGTCCAAGCTTGGCCCCAAAGAAGAAATGTGAGAAGATATTTCCTCCTTCTCCTTTTTAGAAGTAGAAGCCCAAGGGTGTGTAACATGGCATATAAATTCAGACTTTTTAGATATGTTGATTAGTTTTAATGAACTTTTCCTAAATTCCTATTTTTAAAAGCTCTATTATAAGGGACAGCTCTCTGGGAGAGAGGAAAGAGAAGAATATATCGAGAAATGTGAGTAATATAAATACCAAAGATATTAATTAAATTCTATTTTCCAAAAATGGAAGGACCATAACCTTCCCCACCCCTAGCACCTCTCACAAAGGAATGAACAAAATGAACCACTCAAAGGCATCCTAAAACTACTACTACTGCTAATTTCAATTATATCCACACTAAGTAATTTCCTAACCATTATGGCTGAGGGAAAAGAAGCAAGAATTGGCAGAGCAGAGGTACTAATTGTTTCTTATCAAATTTGATTAGACATTAGTCAATACAACTATAGATTTTGGTGTTTTTACTTCCCTATGAAACAAAGATACAGGTTAGTCACAATTCACTTACTTTAAAATCTATCACCTGGCAAAAGACCTGTTGGACCTAACTTATAATCCATGGATACTTTATTGATCAACATGCAAAAAAGGGGGGTGGGGCTTAAATTTGGAGAAATTATAATTTTTTACCAGCAAGGCAAACAAACTTTATTCTAAAAGGAGGAAAAATTATCAGCCTGAAAGTTTAAGTATGATATACATTCTGCCATATTCTTGCCTTTGAATCAGAACTCAAGTTTTGTATGGACCAGGCTAAAAGTCGGTGAAAATAGACTTTTGCTCCAAATGTTAGTCAAGCATGAAAAGCCTATAAAATACACAAAATCTTAGCTTAAAAGAAATCACATTTAGTAATTGATCAAAAAACTACTATTATGGCTTGGTTGCTCTGACGGCTAAAACAATGTCCAGACACAAAGACCAGCAGAGTTCTTAGGTCAGTATGAATGGAAAATAAATTGTACCTTCAGTAAAATACCTGTATGATTAAACTAATTAAAATTTGTTTCATAGAGATAATTTGTGACAAATAATTAAAACCAATAGTTTCAAATGTCTATATGTAAATGTCCAAAGTTCAAGTAATCAATTAAGAGAAGCTAGAAGTCCTAGTGTAAGGAGGCAAATATGAATTTACAGGTATCACTGAGGGTTAGTGGTGAAGAAACTTAAGATTATGTTATGTGAAGATTAACTGAAAGAACTGGATACATTTAACTTGTAAAACAGAAGGCTCAGCAAGAACACGGTAACTGTCTTTAAGTATGTGAAGGGCCAGCATATAGAAGAGGAACATAGAATTGTTCTGTTTGGCCCTAAAAGGCAAAACTAGGAGCAAGGGGGTAGAAATTGGAAAGAGGCAAATTTAGCTTTAATGTCAGGAAAACTTCCTAACTAATAGAGCTATCACAAAGTGGAGTGCTAAGTTGCAAGGTGGTGGGTTCTCTTTCTTTGGAGGTCTTCAAGCAAAACTTCAACAGCCACTTGTTGGATATGGTATAATAGGGATTCCTTTCATATGCAGTTCGAACTAGAGGACTACTGAGGTTTCTTCTCTTCCAACCTCTTAAATTCTAGAATTCTGTGATGTGATTTGATATGTCTATTTCCTTTTCTTCAAAAAAGGAAGAACATTTGTATTTGAAAACTGAGAAGACAAATCAGGACAAGGGATCATGGATTATTTGAAATCTTTACTAATTGATCATAGCTTTACCACTTGGTTATACAATCTAGATTGTCAACTAATGGTTAAATCCTAGGATACTAGGTGCAAGGTCCTCGTGGCCTTGGGGGGAAATGACTTGCAGGTTCGTTGTGCTTAGTAACATCAAACTACTGAAAACTATAGTCAATATTAATAAAGCACAACCTATGAAAAATAAACACAGCCTCAAGCCTCAAGGTATTTAGCACAGATGAAGTAGACTTCTTTTTTATATGACTTTTAAAATAAGAATTTGGAAAAATCATCACTGGAGCATATCATAGGTAGTCTAGGCTATGAGTCATACCCCTATAATATAGAAAGTTTTGTAAAGAGCTGATTAATGCAATGTCATACAGACTGATAATGTCTTTAAAGCATGGACAAAAGAAGTTTTTACTGTCTTTGAAAAAATGTATATACCAATGACTTAATTCAATGTCCAGGTATAGATATACTACTCATATACAATAGAGAACCATTCTGAAGTTTAAAAGGACACTTACAGTGTTAAACTGATATGTTTTATGCCACATATTAAATCATTTGAGGATTTCACAATATAGTCTAAATCTGCATGTTTTAATAATTAGAATGAATATTTACCATTCCAACTTATACTCTGGTGAGAGAAAGTAGTATTGTTTTGGAATTGTGGTATAACACTCTAGTCTCTAATCAAAATAGCCAAGTTAGTGATTAGATTTCCCATTTTGCAATTCCAGCTATCAAAGTAAGAAATATAGGCCATGATCTTTCATATAGATAGTATCTAATTGAGGTTGTCCACTTAATACAAGTACAATATAGTCCTTCAAGGATTAATTCGTTCAGAGGAATGCCTAGAGCAGTGGTGACAAACTGCAGTCCTCACACTGGACAACAATCAACAACAAACCACAAATCAACATTATCTATATTGTACTGTATTTTTAATTTATTTTGTTAAACATTTCCCAGTTACATTTTAATCTAGTTTGTGCCACAGGAGTTTTGTCACACTGTGAGTTTGATACCTCTGGTCTAGAGCATATCCACAAGTAAGAGTAAAGGTGAAGTCCTAACACCTGTGTCCAATTCCTTTATATTTATAAATTGTCTTTATAACTCTGCCTCACGTTTGTTTTATATCATAGCTTAGTTTATATTACAGAAGACAAACCCATAAGATTTTCTTAGCAATAGGGAGAAGACTATAGTATATAATATACATCTGGCCTAGTTCTGTGTACCTTCCACATGAGGGAGAATTCACCTCTTTTATCTCAGTGGAGGAGGGAAATAGGTAACTTTCTTCCGTACATGTTACTCCTGCAACTTGTGAAACTAGAAGGAAGGAATGAGTCTCACTAACTATTAAGCATAGTTTTCAGGACTATACTCTCCTGAACTTGTCCGTAAGAAAGAAAATCCTAACTTTGTATGTTGAATAAAATGAAACCCTTAAACACAGACATATATAGCAATGACGTGACTTTTTAGAAATCAGAAACATGTTATCCCAAGTGTAAAAACTTTTGACATCACAGCATGTAACTCAAAACATGATATAGAACACAAAAGCCTATATTAAAAAAAACAGGTAATGAAATAATTCCATGCAGCATTAGAGGGATATATTTGGAACAAAAACGTTGTTACATGAACATGCTTTATAAATTACACTATAAAGTCAATGTTACAGAACAAATAAAAACAAAAATTGACAAAACTGAAATAAATGCAATTTGTTCTATCATCTCTAACAGAAGAAAACTGAAAAATAACTATTTTGATTATTGTTCTAACAACTGATTGACTGACAGTATAAATATAATTTGTTTCCATTAGAACACACAAGAAGCCAAAGAGAATAATTGCATTAACTCATAACTAAGAAGCATAAAGAAAAGCACTTGCCTGATGTTTCACTGGCTTAGGCGATTCAGGCTGGTTACAAACAAATAAATGCAAATGTTAGCAAGTTTGGGCTTTCCCTTGCAGCAAACTATTTCCCATATCATTCAGGTCAACATGCAATTCAGTGTGAAAAAGCTTGTCCAGCATGCCATCAAGCTCCATTAATTGGTATTTCTGCATCTTTATATTACAAGGAGAACTGAAGAGTTGTAATAATGACTCTGGTGACCTGAGAACTTGAGGACTACACTCATTTCCTCAATCCAATGAACAGATTTAATTTATTCACACCCTCACCCCAAACCTCTAACACACCCAAATATATTCTTATTCTCTCCTCTTACTCAAACTGTAAAGAAACATGACTTCTTCCCCTCTCCATTAAACCTCATCCCTATAATCCCCCAAAGAAGTCTCAGAGGTCAAGAACAGCACAATGATCTGAAGACCAAGCAGGTGAGAAAGTTTAAGGATCCTACTGACTGAAAGTAAAAATCAATATGCTTAAACAGCATTCAAATATCTTCAATTCAGCTTACTAACTACTTAGAGATTCCACAAGAGGGAAAATTCTCCTTAATACAGCCACTATTGAGTAGCTCAGATCTTACAACACTCCTCCCACCTCTTTTTGTGGTGGAACAGCTGATTAAGAGAACGAAGTGGATATTCTGCAAGTCAAATGCAGATTTTTCTTCTCAATTTTCATTTCTTAACAAATTTTTTTTAAAAATTTATAAATGATTTTTTAAAAAGCTTACCGGAATGTTATGATCCTTTCTTCCTTTATGGGAAGAAGCAACATGAGCAAGATACTGAATAACTTTCTTGGTATTTTCTGTCTTCCCAGCACCAGATTCACCCCTGAAAGAATAAATTACTTGATTTCATCTTCATTCTTTAAAGTAGATATAGCCTACCCAGTCCAAAAGTTGATCTTTGAGAGGTGGAGATAAATAAAATGCCTCAAGGTCATCAATTGTAACATAGAGGGAAATATTTTTTCCAGAGGAAAACCAAAATCCCACATACTCTACATTTGCCCTGCTTACAAACTTCTCCTCTTCCCCCTTCTCCCCCCTTCAATACAGAAAAGGAAGAGCTCTCTTTCTTAGGTTTTTCATATAGCATTTTTCTCTATGCTAACAAATCCATTTCCATTGAAATTGCTCCTAATTGGTCCTGGGGATCCAACAAGCCAAGTCTTTCTCTTTTCTATAAGATAGTTCGTTAAAGATTTGAAGGTGGCTACGTCCCTTCTAAATCTTCTCTCTACTAGGCTATCAACAACATCCAGCTTCCCCAACTAATTCTTGCATGTTATGTTCTTCAGGCCTTTCGCTGATCTAGACACTATATGTGTGTGTGTCTCTCTCTGTCTGTCTCTCACACACCACCAGCACCAGCACCAGCACCAGCACCAGCAGCACCAGCAGCACCAGCAGCACCAGCAGCACCAGCAGCACCAGCACCACCCACACACCCACACACACAGAGTATTAGTATCACCTTCCTCATTCGGGACATTATGCCTAAGGCCAGGATCTCATTAGATTTTTAATTGCCGTGACACAATATTGACTCATATTAAACTTACAATCCATTAAATTTCCTTGCCAGCTCCTTATCAATTCTGTACTTACACTGCTAACTTTCAAAATCTGAGCAAGGAACTTCACATTTAAGGGTATTTATTACATTTTATCTTATTAAATTTGTTCCATTGATCTAGACAATCAAGATCTTTTTGAATCCTTTCAGTGTTTGCTATCCTTCTGGTATATTTTTGTGATTTATTATGCCTTTTCTATTAAAAAAAATCATTTTTATTAAAATATTTTAAAACCATCTATAAAAATCAATACCAATTGAACAATCAAAACCAGTAAAAAGTTCATTGGGCTTAAGGATCAGGAAACCTTTGCCACTTAAGTCATCAACATGACCATGAGCAAGTCACAACCTTTCTGAGATTCAGTTTCCACATTATAATAATTAATACTTGCACTACCTACCTCAAAGGATTGTTATAAGGAAAACAAAGTGATATATAAATTAGCTGTTATTACAATATGGATCAATATTTCAAACAATACTATCCACTTCCTGATAGAGTGGATAGAGCCAGGATGCAGAATAAGACATATATTTTTGGTCCTAGAAAGGGGAAAGGAATAAACATTAATGTAGTGTCTATTATGTGCCAGGCACTGTACTAATAAACACATGATAAATATTGCTTTATTTGATCAATATAACGTAAGAATAATGTAAGAATTTGTTTTGCTAGTCTATGTATAATTGTTACAAGCAGTTTTGTTTTTCTTTTGAATGGGTGGGGAGAAGGGGTAAAGAAAATAAATGCTTGTTAACTGAAAATAAAACTAAAAAGTTTTACATAATATAAACTTCTTTCTTTAATCTTTAACCCTTGTTTATCACTCCTTATCACTAATGCTGGTGTCCCTCTAAGTTTTGAATACAGTACAACAATAAATCTAATCCCTTTCTTAGAACGATTTGAGTCCATAGTTTCAGGATTTTCAATGGCTTTATCAGAAGTCAAAAGCCCCATGAGTTTTTCTTGAATTGCAGCTTTCACTGACCCAGAAAATTTCTTTCCCCATCATTAGCCTATATCCATAGGGAAGCAAGCACTTAAGGCTGACTGATTACTGCTTTCTACTATTCTCTCCCAGCTCTTGAAACACTTAACATTCCTACATAATTCTCCTTTTTGTGGTTAAAAATCATGGTTACAAAGCTGAGATTAGAATCCAACTCCCCAGAGTAAGATGGTTTTTCTACTATACCAGGATACAAAAATGATTCACTTTAAAGCTAACCTCTGGGAAACACCTTAATGAATCAACAAATCGCTCCTCTTTGTCTTTCCTGCTTTTCTATCCCTTTCAGCCATTTCAATTGTTTGAAAAATGTTGTAGTCTATAAGTAGAACATCTGGAATTCTTTGAAAGAAAAAGCATTATTGAATAACAACAGAAGAAAACTATATGTTTAAGTAAACTAAGATTATTTTTAAAAAAAGTAATTAAATAGGAAGTGTCACCTTGACAGAATGGCCTTCGGTTTGTCATCAGACAGAACAAGGCCAGGAGAAAAGGAACTCCAAGATGACCATAAAAAGAAATATAAATGATAATAAACAGTCCCTTGCCTTCTCAAAAAAAAAATGTTTTCTATTGCTTCTCTTACATAAGTGGCAGACACACATTATATTCAATAGGTTGAAACTTCTGCTCTGAGCTTGAGAAAACATTCTGAAATATTAATCATTTCAGGAGTATGGGGATGGGGAACATCTACTTCAGAGGTTTCCAAAGTGGATGATACCTCCTCCAGGGAGGGGTGGGAGTATAGTAGCCTCGGGTGCACTTGGGGGGGCATTGAATAAAAATAAGTGGTCCATGGAAGCATAAGGAAAGAAGAGAAGAAAATTTTGAAAACCATTCATACAAGTTTCATCTGTTGTGTAACAGAGTCAAAATCATAGTGATTACATTATTTGCCAAATAAACACACAAAATGCAAGTTATAACCAATCAGTGGTCAAGTACGCCGACAGGTCTTACTTAACAAGCAAGTGTTGGCAGATCGGGAAGTCCAGCGTGCATCAGCAGGAATATGTGCACATAATGACTTGTTTACAATACAATACTATATGATACTATACCGTTACATGACGCATCATTAAAATTTCAATGCAGGAAAAAACCCACAAATTTACAATAAATTATTAAATTTAAGATGTGTCATTTTTAAAAAAAAAATTTATTTTTTTTGAAATGAGGTAAATTAAAAAAAAAAAACATTAAAGTGTTAAAGAAAGTAGATTTCCACTAGCTGTATGAACCTGGGCAAATCACTTAACACCGATTGCCTCACTCAAAAAAAAAAAAATAGATTTCCAGGGGGGCACTGAGTAATTTTTTTTTTAAAGGGGGCAGTAGGCCAAATAAGTTTGGGAACCTCTGATCTAATTCCATGAAATTAGGTCCTAAAGCTAATGTTATCTAGCCAAAGTGGTAAGTACCAAAAGTGATATACCCATTTATAAAACTGCAACTCAACTTTAAAAGTCTTCTTCATTCTAGCTGTCTCTTGCCTTGTTACTGCTGGTGTTATGCTCTCCAAACCAAACTTCTATAGACTATTCCCGAGGAGGAATTAAATAATTCAACTCTGAACTCCTGCTCTGGAAGCATGTTTCTTCCTCTTCCACGCAACTACAAGCCACCAAGTACCAACCTCCTTTTCATTTCATTAGAGTTGTATTCAAATGATTTCAACCATTGCTTCAAAAAAGCACATGTCATTCAATTTCCCTATTATCCTTCTTACTATCCCTGTAACTTCCAAGATCAATCTACCCTTCCAGGACCACCACTCACGCCATGTAATGTTTTCCCCTATTAGAATGTAAAGGGAGAACAGGTACTGTCTTGTTTTGGTATTTGCATATGCAGTGTTTAGCACAGGGCTTGGCACAAAATAAGCATTTAATAAAAGCTTTTTTCATTCATTAGTTCAAGTAATACCCTAAGAAATGCACAAAATCAGACTTTACTCCATAACATCTCTCTACTTATATTTCTCTCTCTTTCCAAAGTGATTTTCTGGAATCAGAGCACATGAAAAAATCATTAAGAAACTATATCTAAGGATAAACTCTAAAATTAATTTTTATTAACCCACTCCCTTTTACTATGCCATGTTTCCATCTCCACAGTGAGCATTAAGTTAATCTCACATTACAGAACAGAAATGTTTCAGCAAAGTTAGTTATGCTGCAAATGTTTTCCCAATGACTTCTCTCCACCAAAACTGCACTAAGAATTTAATCAAAAATTTTCATTATAGGAGTGTGTTAAGATGGTAGCTTCCTTTATGGGATGTTCCGTATCATACTTTCGACTCGGAGTAAGTCTTTGCCAAGAAAACCCCAAATGGCGTCACAAAGAGTCAGACATGACTGAAAACAAGTGAACAACAAATCAAAAGTAAGATGAGGGGAGTGGGGGGAAGCTAATGTTCTCCTAGCCTATATTAACAGAGACAGTATAATAAGTTTCCTTATGAAGAAGAGTTCCACAATACCCTGCATTACTGGAAAAGAGAGACAAACTATACCATGTCCAGAAGACAGTAACCAGGGAATGAAAGAACTGCAGATCATGCCCATAAGAATAAGATGAAGGAACAGGGAATCCTGAGCCTAGAGAAAAGAATACCAGGTAGAAAGTGGGGAAGAGACATTATAGCCATCTTTAGGTTCATGAATGGCTGTCATGTGGAAAACAGATTATACTAGGCCTTCAAGGGCCAAGCAGAACAAGGAATAAAGGATGAAAGTTGCAGAGAAATAGATTTAGGTTTTTGATTTAAGGAAAAACTTCCTAACAAAGTCAGGGCAGTCAGCTGCTCAAGAAATATCTATTATGTTATGTTATTATATTATATGCTAAGCACTGAAAATACAAAGAAAGGCAAAAATACAGTCTTTGCCCTCAAGAAGCATTCATTCTAAAGAGAGAGACAACCGTGATACAGATGGAAGGTGATCTGAAAGGGGGCAGCATTAGCAATTTTTGAGGGATCAAGAAAGACCTCTTTCAGTGGACTTTGAGTTGAGTCTTGAAAGAAGTCAGAGAAACTAAGAGTTAAAGATAAGGGAACAGAATATTCTAGGCATGAGGGGCAGCCAGTGCAAAAGCACAGAGAATAGAGATGGAGTGATGTGTTTGACAAATAGGAAGTGGGCCAGTGCAGCTGGATCACTGAATGCATGGAAAGGAGTAAAGTGTAAGAAAACCAGAAAAAGTAGGAAGGGGACAGGTTGGGAAGAACATTACAGGACAAACTAAGGACTTTATACTTGACCCTGGAGGTATTATGGCAACACTGGCATCTACTGAGGAGAAAGGTGACCTGGTCACATCCAGACTTCAGAAAATCCTCTGGAAGCTGAGGATAGAATGAATTGAAGTGGGGAAAGATTTGAAGCAGGGAGACCAGTTAGAAGACTACTGTAGTAATACAGGGAATAGGTAATGAGAGCCTAAACTAGGATTGTGGCTTTATAAGTGGACAGAAGGATGATGTAAAATCAATAATGACAAAATATGGCAATGGATTAAATAAGTAGGGTGAGTGAGAGTAAGTAGTCAAGAATGGTACAAAGATTGCAAACCCAGGTGACCAGGAAGATGGTGGTACTTCAATCATAATAGGAAAGGTCAAAATGTGGAGGGTGGAAAGGAGGAAGAAGAGTGAGATAATGAGTTCTGTTTTGAACATGCTGAGTTCCTGGTGCCTACTGCCCATCCAGTTTGAGATGAGATAGTTAAAGAAGCATAGGTCTAGAAAGAGACTAAGTATGAATCACCTGCATAAAGATAATGACTGAATTAATGGGAGTGATAAGATCACCAACTGAGAAAGTATATAGTCTTTGGACAGAGAGGAGGAGAACAAGGACAGAGCAATGCTAAAAAGCCTACAAAGGAGAAAGTATTCAGGAGACAAGAGTGACCAAGTATCCAAAGATGCAGAGAAGTCAAGAAATATCAGGACTGAAAAGAAGTCATTGAATCTGTCAATTAAGAAATCATAGCCAGTGGGTCTTGTAGGATGAAATGAGGGGGCATTTTATATTAAGTAATGTGAGGCATGTATATTTGTAAGCTTCTCAAAAGGAGCAAGGAAGAGACGGAAGATTAGAGAGTGAGAAAGCAATTTGCTGGAAAAGTTGAGAGGTTATAAGGTCAAGGAAACATCTGGAGGGATTGGCTTTGGAAAGGAGAAGGGTCATATCTTCATTTGAGAATGGAGTAAAGAAGAAATTTACTGAGGAAAATGTTTTAATTATGTGAGATGAGGAGGAGAGGGAAGGGAATTCTGAGACCATTCTCAGCTAAGTAGGTAGAAGGAGGGGATACTATGTGAGGCTTAAGAAGAGATGAAAAAGTTTGGAACTGCTACTATGGAGAGAAGAATAACACAATGATTAGAGAAAAATAGACTTTTTCCATTATTGCAGCTCCATCCAGAATAGAAGCAAAACAGGCATATATTGGAAATGATTTAGTGTTAGGATTTGGTAAAGCATGATATTAGAAGTGATCTACTGTTAGGATTTGGTGAAGCATGATATTGGAAGTGATCTACTGTTAGGATTTGGTAAAGCATGATAGGACAAAGGGGCAAGGATAGTAAACTTGAGTTGGTTCACCATGGGGTCAAGTTAAAGAAGAAAGAAGACTGTAGTCAGTGCAAGGTTGATAGCCTGGGAAAAAATTGAGGGGTGGGGGGAATGGAGGTCACAGCAAGGATGAAGAAAAGGGTGAGTGATTAGGATCACTAGGGGATTAGGCATGGGGATAGATGGAATGATAGAATATCAGATCAAAGAATTTTACAGTTTGTGACCAAAGAAGTAGAACACGTGTAGGTAATGACAAAGTCAAGTGTGTTACTATCTCTGTGTGTGTATATGAGTTGAAGAAGTGGAGTAGGTCATAGGAAATGGAGCAGATTGAGGGACTCAGGCCACACAACTGAAGAAGTGAGAAAAAAAAGAGTTTTTAAGATCAAAGGGATTGTTAATTGTGAAATGAACATTACAGAGGGTACAGTGCAAAGGTTATGGAGATATAAAGAACCATTTGGGAGAAGAGGTGGGGCTGAGGTAGACATGGCTGAAGTGAGGAAGTAGCAAGGTGAAGCTGAGGAACGAATGGACTTTTACACTGGTAGTCAAAGTTCAGAATTACTGAGATGAGGCTGAGTAAAAGGAAATGGAAGTAGGCTAACCATTAAGCAGAGAGTCCAAGAAGAGTATCAGTGATTGGAGAGGAGTACCCTGAAAAAGGCAGGAGATTAGAGTGTTCCAGATCTTCACTTGAGGTTCAACCTCCTGGCAGATGGAGATGTGTCTCGTGAGAACTCAGGACGACTGGCAAGTGGGTAACCTTGTTTGTCCTAGAGAAAGCCCTGTACGGGCATGAGATGGAAGAGTTCTCATTTACAGTGGGCAGACCAAGTCAATGCTGGGGATGATCTGAGAGCAGTATCTCAACTGAAATGGGCAAGGATTCTTTAGCATGTGGTACAAGAGACAGGTGATATTGGAGGGAGTCCTAAGTAAGGTCCCAATGGGAAAAATTTAGAAGGCACAATGAGTAGCAGTAGTCTTTTCTCCTCAGCTTGAGCCCTGATACTGGTGGTTATCCTGGATTAGGGCCCAATGGGAAGATGCCAGGCACACCAAGTAATAGGTACTGCTCCACATCTAGCTAGGTGCGGGAGTTAGCCTTTGGTGAGTGTCTAACAAGGTGGTATCACCCTATTAATTACAGATAATTCCAATTATAACATCACAGAATTTTATAGACTATCTAGTCCAACCCATACCTAACTAAACAAGAATCTCCTCCCACCTACAACAAAAGCTACATGTGACAGTCATCTCAAAGAACTTGTGCAAGAAGGAAGCCACTATACCTACCAAAGCAGCTCCTTTCACTTAAGGATACCTCTAGTTATTAGGACGTTTTTCCTGAAAACCAGGCTAAATTTGCATCTCTGCAATTTCTAGCACTGCAGCTAATTTCTGTCTTCTGTGGGCCAAGTATAATCCCTCTTCTACAAATACTTCAAGACAATTATCATATAGCCCCTAAATCATTTCTTCTCAATCATCCCTTGCTCTGTTGAACAGTATTCATATGCCATGATCACAAGACACATCACCATCCTAAAGGTGGGAAATAATATTATAGGTTCTTCAGTGGATGAGTGGCTAACCAAGCATTTGAGAAGGAATATAATCTAGCCTAAGTATGAATAATGAACTAAAAAAGGAGAGAAACTAAAAGCAGGGAGGATCTCTAGGAACCTATTATAAATGAGGAATGCCTTAATGAGGAACTGACCTATATATGTTGGCAGTGGGAAACTGAGAGAAGAGAATAGATATGTAAAAACTGAAAGAAGACACATAAGAACTTGGTGATTAACTGGATAAAATCAAAGAAGAATACAAGATTTAAGACCCAGATCTGACATCTGAAAAAGCAGACAAGAAAGAAATATTTTATTAACTGAAAAGACAAATGAAAGGAGTAGAAAAGAGATACTTTAAATACTAGTCCCATTATTAAGAGGTCTTTACTTCTCTTTCAATACAACATTTCATGCTTTTTTTTTTTTTGGTTCTTCATCTAAAACAAAGTTTAAATAAAGAACTACCAATGTTTTAATTGACTTAGGAAAACTGGCTAAGTTCCTTTTACTATCAAAGACAATTATGAAAGGTTATTATTTGTTTACTTACGTGCAAAGAATCGACTGATCTTCACGATCTGAAAAACAAAAAGACAAGCAGTAAATTGCAAATATGTTCTCATTTAAAATTTTCCATATTAGAAAATTTATATTATGTTAACCAAAAAACATTTGCTGAAGTTTTTTAAGCAAGAGAAGGATAATATAAAGAGATTAATTTGAGGCAAGAGATTAGATGGCTATGGCAATCACCTGTGTTAAAACATCTTCTCTCCTCTGCCTTTATTCTATCCCTATCATCTTTTAATTACCCACAAAACAGAACAGAATTTTTAAAAAAAATTTTTTTTTATTAATTTATTTTGATTTATCCACAATCACTTCCATATGCTTTGAGTTTAAAATTTTTCTCCCCCTTCCTCTCCATTACCCTCCCCAAGATGGCGCACAATAGACTATACATATACATTCCTATTAAACATTTTCACATTAGTGATGTTGTAAGTAAAAATTAGAACCAATAGGAGGAACCACCAGAAAGAGGAAACAAAACTCAACAGAAGAGGGAAAAAAAAAAGCAAATAGTATGCTTCAATCTGCATTCAAATGCCATAGTTTTTTCTTTGGATGTGGATAGCATTTTCCATCACGAGGCCTTTGGAGATGTCTTAGATCCCTGTATTGCTGGGAAGGGTTAAGTTTATCAATATTAGTCATCGCACAACGTGGCTGTTATTGTGTACAATGTTCTCTTGGTTTTGCTCCCTTCACTCAGCATCAGACCATACAAGTTCTTCCAGGTTTTTCTGAAGTCAGCCTGTTCATCATTTCTTATAGCACAATAGTATTCCATCACATTCATATACCACAACTTGCTCAGCCATTCCCCAATTGATGGGCATCCTCTCAATTTCCAATTCTTTGCCACCACAAAAAGAGCTGCTATGAATATTTTTGTATATGTGGGTCCTTTTCCCATTTGTATGATCTCTTTGGGATACAGCCCTCGAAGTGCTATTGCTGGGTCAAAGGGTATGCACATTTTTATAGTTCTTTGGGCATAGTTCCAAATTGCTCTCCAAAACGGTTGGATTATTTCACAACTCCACCAACAATGCATTAGTGTTCCAATTTTCCCACATCTTCTCCAACATTTATCATTTTCCTGTTTTGTCATGTTGGCCAATCTGATAGGTGTGATGTGGTACCTCAGAGTTGTTTTGATTTGCATTTCTCTAATCAACAGTGATTTAGAGCATTTTTTCATATGACTATAGATGGCTTTAATTTCTTCATCTGAGAACTGCCTGTTCGTATCCTTTGATCATTTTTCAATTGAGGAATGACTTGTATTCCTATAAATTTGACTTAATTCTCTATATATTTTAGAAATGAGGGCCTTGTCAGAGACTGGTTAGAAAAATTCTTTCCCAATTTTCTACCTTCCTTCTAATCTTAGTTGCATCGGCTTTGTTTGTGCAAAACCTTTTCAATTTAATGTAATCAAAGTTATCCATTTTGCTTTTCGTAATATTCTCTATCTCCTGTTTGGTCATGAATTCTTCTGTTCTCCATAAACCTGATAGGTAAACCATTCCTTGCTCTCCCAGTTTGCTTATAGTATCAGTCTTCATATCTAAATCATGAACCCATTTTTGACTTTATTTTGGTATACAGCGTGAGATTTTGGTCTATGCCTAGTTTCTGCCATACTCTTTTCCAGTTTTCCCAGCAGTTTTTTTCAAAGAATGGGTTCTTATCTCAGAAGCTGAGGTCTTTGGGTTTATCAAATAATAGATTACTGTAGTCATTGACTACTGTGTCTTGCATATTTAACCTATTCCACTGATCCACCACTCCATTTCTTAGCCAGTACCAAGCAGTTTTGATGACTGCTGCTTTATGATACAATTTAAGATCTGGAATGACTAAGTCACCTTCCCCTGCCAAAAAAATTTTAAATTACATATTCTCTAGTCTTAATTTTAAAAGCAGATCTGAGTTAAATGTTTTATGTTTTTCTTCCCAAAAAAATTAACATGGTGTTTTCTTTTGTTGTACTCAAGTTTACTACAAGTCACAAGGATAGTAACAACTGACATACAGGGCATTTCAAGCTTTCATTCATCATGTTATCTCATTTTTTAAAGTTATCTAGGCATCATATCTAACTTTCTGAGCGATTTCTCAAGTATCATCTATGGACCCAATGTAATGGCAAGAGTCAGAAAAAGATTCTAGAATATAACCTAGTCTACCAAAGCCTTCAAGGGATGTTTATCACATATACCTAGGACGGGTCTGAAATCAAATCAGCAAAGAATGGATGAGTATGTGATACTTGAACACCCATGCCCACTGTCAAAGTAAACTTAACCACGGTAATCACAGGGAAAGTGTGTAGTAAAAATGACTTAAGGTCCCACAACCTCAAGCAAACAATGTAACACAATGGATAGAAAACCAGAGGAACTAATAGATTTTTCTGGCTTAAACAAAGACGTCTCCCCTAGGAGATGGCGTAGATAGCAGCGACAGTGATTTTATTTCCTTAAGTACTTACTGAGCATCAACATTTGTCGGACATTATATAGGAAATGCCTCCAAAGTAGGATAAAATACAGTCTCTGCCACCCTGAAGCTCATAACTAAATATATTAGGACTCTGGGGAAAGAAAAAAAACAGTGTGACCTACAGTAACTAAGGAAGATTTTATAGAAGATTTTAAAGAAGACTATGGGCGATTTGGATAGGGAGGTAGAGATAATAGCATTCTAGGTGAGGACAACTATATAATGAAAGCTATGAGATTAAGCATATGGTATTCAGGGAACATAGTCTGGCTGAAATCAAGATAGTAATGAAAAATAAGGCTGGATTTGTACAACAGTGCCCAATTATAGAAAGTTAATGTCACACTCACTCAACATGGATATAATAGAGTCATGCTGGCTTTTTTCTTTACACCTTCACCAAAGTTCATATAAATCAACATTAAATAGTCCATTTGAGGACTATTGTCCTCAAAAAGTAGACATTACCACAAACTGACACTCCAACAAAACTCCAAGAGATTATTCTATTTCCTCTGTTGGACTTGTACAGAATGTTGTTTTGAAATAAGTGTTATAACTAATGAGCTTGGAATTTTTGTTGTTAAAAGTGATTTTGATCTACTGGATTTTGCTCTGTGTACTGATTTACACAACCATAACCATAACTATCCTTAATTCATTTCATGCCCTAAGCTATACCTTTTTGATTTAAAAAGATTGCCTTCTCTTTAAAATAAAATCAATCATTCATTGAGTGCTTACCATGTGCCTAGCATCAGGCTGCAAATAAGATGCAGTCACAGAAATATATATTTTTCCTATTTCATACCCATTTAATATAACTATAAATAATAAATTATATTTACACATAATATTGATACACAATAGATTAGTTTAATTAAAATTTTGTAAGCATGACTACAGAAGTATTCTCCCAATGTGATAGAACATATGTTATTGTAATATCAGTACCACTAAGACCAAAAACATGGAAAAAATACTTAACTGGAAAGGAGTACTGAACCTCTAAGTTAGCTTTGCCATTAACTGTACTACTGGACAAGTTTCATTTATCATCTCTCAGACTTACTTCCCACATCTTTAAAATTAAAAAATGGATGAGACTGTCATTACAGTTCCTTCTAGATCTGAGACTCCACAAACTTTATGGATCCTCCACTCTTGGCATACCAAAAAACACAAGGCCAATTATTTCCTCTTAATAACTATCCAGGAGATATCTTAATCTAGGAAATTATCACTTCGTTTAGGTCAAACATTTACTGACTTCCTTTCATGTGCAAGATATTATGCCAACTACATATCCTACTCAAAGGATAAGAGGAACACAAAAAATTAGCAACATCCTGTTAAAAAATATAGACAAAATCTCTGTAAACAGTCAATGCTTCCAAAAAAGCAAATCTGCCTTCAAAAGGACAAAACACTTTTAACCAGTGAGAATATTCTAAACAATGATGTACAGAATAGTTGTATCACAAGTTTATGATTGCCAAGTGAATAACACAATCACTCAAAGTACTTCAAAAACTGTTTACAAAATATTGTGAACAGTGCCAATATCACAGTAAACATATAACCTACGAAATAACAACTTTGAAAGGTACAGCACTAAATTAGATCTACAATTCTGGTGTTAGTATTAGTATATGAAGGTTTTAAAGTCATTTGACTTGAGGAGGGTGGATCTTAGATGGCAGAGTAGCAGGAAGAAGTACAGCAAGCTTCCCACAAAAAATTCCTCAAGCAGATCTTGAAAATGTACCACACTGAATCCTGATGAGGAAATCCAACAAAAAGTCACAGGCAGTCATTTTTCCCATCTCTGTAAACGCATGGTTCAGAGCACACCTATCACAGCAACGGAACACTAGGTGTAGAACAGGTCTCAGTTCTAACTTCTAGCCCATTCTGAAGTTTGAAGAGAAATGACCTGGGCAGGAATACCAGACCAAAGGAAGGTTACGCTTCTATCACTCAACCATAGCAGAAAAGAGATTTCAGGGCTTTAACTGCTGTGCCTTAATTTAAATGCTCAACTGACAACAAATATTAAGACACACCTAATTAGGAAAGCACAAGAAAAGTCACAAGACACAGAACATTCAATATCTCAGATGTATATTTACATGTAAATATTAATACACAACTTTTTATGTATTCATTGACTCATGTCAATGGAGAAACAATATGGTGAGCTGAAATAGGCTAGAGCCTATTTCCAATGACGGCTTCTGCACAAGAAGTGACAGTGGAACTTGTTTTTTCTGACTGAACCTAATTTTGTTGGTCTACGCAGGGATTCTTAAACTTTTTCCACTCTTTCCCCCTTCTGCGCTTCTTAAACTGTGGTTTGCAAGCCCACCCACAGTGAATTTCAGGTGAGGAAACACTGTCTACCAACATACAATCTTCAATTGTTCTGCAACTTACTGCACTAATCTATGAGTCCACATTTGCTACCCTGCTGTGCTCCTCTCCACTTTATCATGCAATCTAT